TAAGAAAAAAAAGAATTCTGTGTTGAATTTTTTTGGAATAGTTTCCAGCTTCTTTGTGCAATTTCTGTGGCCATTTGAATAACGCGGACCGGCTTTTTAGAAAACCGGTTTTTTAGCATAAGAAGTGAAAGTTTGCCAGGTCTTTTAGCAGACTTTGAGTGACAGTTTTGTGGAGGCAGCAAAATTTGGCGCATTTTTGCTTGGCTGAATTAAAATTGTGCGTATTCTGAGGTTGAGCTTCTCTAGTTGAGAGAATTATCTCTCGGTTTGTCAACAAATTTCTAAGCAAAACAAACACGTTTAAAGGCAAACACGGCAGTCCAAAGTGATGGGACTGCCAGTGAGCTGTATCACCCTCATCGATGAAGCGGGAGTGGATGTGGCCATGCACGTCTCTGAAGACCTAGGCGAGAATTGTAAATGAATAATTTGAGAGAGTTTTGCTCGAGTAAAGCACATGCATAATGCTGCTATGCCAATTAGCCAACATTGACTTTCTGCAATGAGAACGCTGAATTGCCGGAACTTAAACACAACACTTCTAGTAAAGCAAAACTGACTTCAAATTATGATCGAACGTTATCGATGCGAAAAACAAGACTTTTCAGAAACTGAAATTAAAATCATTAAAAGAATAAGAAACGATTTTCTCTCAAATGAAATTCGAGTCGGTTTATTTGAGTAATAATAATTGTCTGTGTTGCTGCTTTCCCTAACTAACTTTTGACAATTTAAAGCTTTCTTGAAGGTGAGTTTTTATTTCTGCAAAACAAACGTTGCATTTTTTTTTTTGAAAAAGTATTATTTCTGAAGAAATTACAGTTCTCCCATTTAGCTTACACATTTTGTCAGTTTTTTCTTTGACGATTTAGATTCTATTGTTTCTCAACTAGAATCAAGTGACACTTACAAAGTGTAAGTAAAATAGGAATTCTCTGTGTTGAATTTGTTTGGAATAATTTCCAGCTTCTTTGTGCAATTTCTGTGGCTATTTGAACAACGCGGACCGGCTTTTTAGCAAACCGGTTTTTTAGAATAAGAAGTGAAGTTTAGCAGGTCTTTTAGCAGACTTTGGGTGACAGCTTTGTGGAGGCAGCAAAACTTGACGCATTATTGCTTGGTTGAAGTAAACTTGCGCGTATTCTGGGGTTGAGCTTCTCTAATTGAGACAATTATCTCTCGGTTTGTCAACAAAGTTCTAAGCAAAACAAACACGTTTAAAGGCAAATACTAATTCACGCGCAGTATTCCTCTAGTGCCGAATGTAAGCGCAGCGGAGCGAAGTGGAGCAGAGCAAGCGTATTCTACTTGCCAATTCCGCATTTGAAGTTAGCATTCTGACTGTTTAGTTGTTTTGAGTCTGCTAAAAAACCGGTGTGCGAAAAAAACTAGCCCCTTGAATAATTTAGTAGAGCGTTTTGAAAATAAACAGATTTGAAATTTTTGTAATTTCGAAAAATAAAACTTCAACCAGAGTTGTTGCATGATTTGGTATGTCTGAGAATCGCCTTATGTAGTCTCAATTTTTCTAAATAACTGATTGACATGCTCATAAAACATACAAAAATATAATTTCAAAACTAGTTTACAAAACAGGCATAGCTGCTTCAATTGAATTTGGACTCATTTACGCTATTATAAAAACCAGAAGTACCAGTTACGTAAATGCTGAAAGTATTATTTCCCTTGCAATAAACAAAGGTTTTGCAATCGTGTACTAGAGTGTTTCCCCCGTAGATAAACTGGTTCACAGGACTCATGTGAACTCATGTCTTGAAAGCTTCTTTTTGCAAAAATTTACCGCCGTTTGTGCATGTTAGCGCTTTAAATATCTGTCCTATTCGAATTTTGCTTTTTATGTTGGTTTTTTAGTTTTTCTCTAAACTAGGGGGGGGGGGATGTTTTATACATTCTGATCAATACTGATGAAGTGAGGCTCGTATTTTGAAACATAACTCACTTGCGACCTTTTTAGAAAATTATATGCGCTCAAATGCTGCCAATGTGGGATCCACAGTTCTTGTATTGCGTATCGAACAATCACTCTTATAAATCAGTCCACATGAGAAGCCATTTTTTTATACAAATATGGATTTTACAGACAGAAAAAACTATTGTAATTAGTCAATGCGTGTAGGGGGTTATAGGAATAAACCAAATTGTATCAATATATGACGACGGAACTAAAAAGCCGGTCCGCGTTATTCAAATGGCCACAGAAATTGCACAAAGAAGCTGGAAATTATTCCAAACAAATTCAACACAGAGAATTCTTATTTTACTTACACTTTGTGAGTGTCACTTGATTCTAGTTGTGACACAACAGAATCTAAATAGTCAGAATAAAAACAGAAAAAATGTATAAACTAAATGGGAGAACTGTAGTTTCTTCAGATATAGTTCTTTTTCAAAAAAATTCAACGTTTGTTTTGCAGAGAAATAAAAACTCATCTTTGAAATAATTTGAAATTGACAAACAGCAGTTAGGAAAGGCAGCATCACAGAAAATTATTCTTATCATCTAACCAAGGTAGCGGCATATGAGTCTGAACAGCAAATTACAGCAAAAACTTTCGAGGATCAACCAGACAATCCCCCACCCCCAAATCAATTAAGGGGGAGAAAATACGGATTTTTCATAATCTAACTTTGATTATAGACTAGATTTGTTCAAAAACAAACGCATTTTAAAGAAAAATGAAATAAAACATTAAATCGTGTAATTAACAGCAAACAAATGCTACTCCGCATATAAAAGGTAAAAACCAATTTTTTTTGCGCGGCTATGAAATGCATATTTTATACAGAAATAATTTTCACAACTATTTTATGCTTGGGGAGGGCATTCTACGGTAGGTCGCATAGGGGGGGGGGGATTCTACGGTTGATCCTCTTTTGATTTTCTCAACAAACTTTAGGATTCAATTGGATCCAACACGGCATCAGAAAAACCTTCACTATGGGACACCTCAATTTCACACAAGCAGACATTCCAAATACCTGATTTTGTCAAAAAAAAAACCGAAAAAGTATCAATGATTTCAAGGGCAGAAAAACCTTTTTTTTTCTAAAAAATGTTCAAACTTCGAACTTCAAAATGCGTCTTTATTAATGCTTTGAGTTGCCAAAAACATTTTTTGACACTATTCGTTTAAAACTTCCAATTTGATTTTAAACTAGGTCAATCTGAACGTTTTTTTTTCAGCTGTGAATTCTGAAACAAAGTCCTTTCGAAATCAGGTTATACAACATTTTTTGCGAACTTCAGGTAAGGAAGAGCAAAATTTCATCTGAAATTCTTAAACCGGAAATAGTTTGGAAAGTATCAATGATTTCAAAGGCAGAAAAACATTTTTTCTAAAAAATGTTCAAACTTCGAAATGCGTCGTTATTAATGCTTTGAGTTGCCAAAAACATTTTTTGACACCATTCGTTTAAAACTTCCAATTTGATTTTAAACTAGGTCAATCTAAACGTTTTTTTTTTCAGCTGTGAATTCTGAAACAAAGTCCTTTCGAAATCAGGTTATACAACATTTTTGGCGAACTTCAGGTAAGGAAGAGCAAAATTTCCTCTGAAGTTATTAAACCGGAAATAGTTTGGAAAGTATCAATGATTTCAAAGGCAGAAAAACATATTTTTCTAAAAAATGTTCAAACTTCGAACTTAAAAATGCGTCTTTATTAATGCTTTGAGTTGCCAAAAACATTTTTTGACACTATTCGTATAAAACTTCCAATTTGATTTTTAACTAGGTCAATCTAAACGTTTTTTTTTTCAGCTGTGAATTCTGAAACAAAGTCTTTTCGAAATCAGGTTATACAACATTTTTGGCGAACTTCAGGCAAGGAAGAGCAAAATTTCCTCTGAAGTTATTAAATGTTTATTAATTTTAAACGAAGTTAAACCGCAAAATAAATAAACAAATTTGAGCGAGCACAACTTTTTCTTCGAAAAACAAACGTTATATAATCTGCCCTATACAGTGCTGATTTAAATTATCCGAACAGAATGCATAAAATTTGAAATTCAGACGCCTTTTACTCAAAACAGGTTGATTTTAGACCAAAAAAGAGAAGGCTAAACTTGCTTAGAATCTGCAGAATTGAAATGTAATTAGTTTTTGGAAATTCGGGCGCAAAATTTTAAATTTTAAGCCAAAAATGGATTCATTTTGTCTTTTTTAGTCAATCAAAAATTACGTTGAACTACCGGATCAATTACTGAAAACGATGTCAAAGTGAGACTCTTATAAAGCCCTACAAAATTTATAAGGGGTGTTATCTCCAAAAAAGTAGAATTTATTTTTGGTATTGTATATCTGGTTAACATGTCTATCAAACAAAAATAAAATAAATTTTATTTGAAAACTATTTTCAACATTTTGCTCAATTTTCCGGAGATACTACCCCTCTTGTGCATTTTGGGTTCACTTAAGATATAATTTGATATAATTTTGTCAGTAATTGACCCAAGAGTTTAAGTGTACTTTTTGGTTGACTAAAAAGCCTAAAATATTTCATTTTTAGGTTAATATTTTGTGCCCGAGCTTCGAAAATCAAACTGCACCATATTACTTCTAAAATCTAAGCAAATTTAGTGTTCTTCATTTTGAGAAAATCGCTCTTTAAATTCCAGTTATATGCAATTTGTCCAAAGAATTCAAATCAGCGTTGTATAATTGTCTTCACTAAATGCATTGACACTCCAACTCTCAATGGTCAAGTTTATTTCGCACGCTTTTTGCGAGAAGCCTAACTAAAAATCACAAACACATAAAATCCATATTGCTAATATATTTTGAGTGCTTGTTTGGCAAAAAAAAATTAAACCGATCTGGGGATAATTAACTTGATCATCAAAACTTGGGAAAGCAAAAACTAAAAGGTAATTCATGACAGGACTTGTATTCAATAGTTTTTCCATTTTTATTACTTTTCTTTACAGTTGCCGTTATCTAAATCAAATAACTTATAACTATGTTCATTTCTACTTCAGAAACGACTGTTGAAATAATCTATTTTCAGTTGGTTATTAAACGTCAGTTTGAGTCAGCACTTTACAATTTAATCAGTTATTAATAAACATCTTCTCCCAGTTTATCATTACTTCTCGAGCTCCTTACTCTCTTGTCCAGAGTAGTACACTCTTTCATTCTCCCTAGCTTATCTAGGGTGGAATTTTCTGGATGAATCACCGGCGTGATCCAGTAAAAGTTTAGCTGGTGTGAATGAAGGCCCATATACTTCTTCGTACTTCTTCAGTTTTCCAACTACAGTCGAGGCACCGGCTATGTCAACATATCTAAATGGACCTGAAACAATGAAAATTCAAAATGAGACTTAAAACGCTTCTATCATATCGCAGACACTCACCAATTTTCGATCGATTGAGTTTTTTCTTTGTATTTTTTTGGTTCGAGACTACCGCTCATTTTTATCTTGACAAATTTCAGATTCTTGACAATATGGAAATTTTGGATAGAACGAAAAAAACCCATGGAGTAATTAACAGCAAAGGAAGGAATTAGGTCATAAATTATCGGTGAACCAACCCGTCTGCAGTACATACCTCCCAAAAATGGTGGGAATCCCAGTCCGAACACGGCGCCAATATCGCCCTCGATCGGGTTCCTCAGAATATCCTCTTGCAGACACATCACAGCCTCATTCACAAACCGCAACAGCAGTCTATCCATTATATCTGCATCCGTCAATGGAATCTTCGGCTGCATGTTGTACTTGGCCACAATCTCTGCTGCTTCTTGAGTTGGAGGTCGTCTCTTGGATCCCGATTGGAAATCGAAGAAGCCTTTTCCTGATTTACGCCCCATGAGGTTGGCGTTGACCATATCTCGAAGGATGCCAGGGTTGCCTCCTTCCATTCGTTCCTTGAAGGCAGCTCCTATAGGTAATTATTGTTTACAAAAACCTTGGACTTTATTTTTTTTGAAATAGAATACCAAGTTTCCACTACTTAATTTTTAGTTAATCTCAGTACACCACACCACGTTTAAATGATAAACCGGTTGATAAATCGGATTCAAATTCAATTTTTTATTTCTTTTTTGAGCTCAATTTAACAAAACGTTTTACTTCACAAAAAGTAGGCCTCAATTTCAAAACCAAATAAGTTCGAATCAAATAAACCGAATCGAATTTCATTTGAGTGAATTTCGTTTCACATTCATTTAATGATTTTAATTTCAGTTTCTGAATAATTCATGTTTTTCGTATTGATAACGTTCGATCGTAAGTTAACGTCAGTTTTGGTTTACTAGAAGTGTTGTGTTTAAGCTTCGGCAATTCAGCGTTCTCATTGCAGAAGGTCAATTATAGCTAATTGGCATAGCAGCAATATGCATGAGCTTTACTCGAGCAAAACTCTCTCACAAATTATTCATGTAAACTTCTCACCTAGGTCTTCAGAGACGTGCATGGCCACATCCACTCCCACTTCATCGATGAGGGTGATACAGCCCACTGGCAGTCCCATCACTTTGGACAGTCTGTCCAGCTTCTCAGCCGGAACTCCCTCCTGGAGCAGACGAAGGGCCTCTGACATGATTGGGGCCAGAACACGGGTGGTGTAGAAGCCAGGGCCGTCCTAGAACCAATGAGAACATATCCATTAGGATGAGCCAAGAAGTGTTCGTCAAAATTAGCAACAGAACCGGAAAAAATCAATCATTCAACGGTGTTAATTTCTTATTGGGACAAAAACTTCAGTGATACTAGCGTGTAACGCACCTTTCACGTCACCAAATATTTGTGACTTAAAAGTTTTTTTAAACTTAAATAGACAAATCTCCATAACTACTGGGTTTCATATCTTCGTAAACAAAACCCTAAAATGGGCGATAGCATACAACATCACTTTCCATATTGCAAGAAAATTGAAACAATTTCAATTGCAAAATCATCAAATTCAAAAATGGGATTCATAATCCAGCGTAATTGATTTTAAGTTTTCAGACTCTTTTTTTTCTTAATGTGATTGTAAGTTTAATGAAACAATTTGCGCGATAAAATTAGGATGAGAGACCAAATGTGCATCCGCTGGTAGTAACCTGCCATCACCACACCAAATGGTCGACATTTTCAAGTTTTGAAAAGTATTTGATTTATTTTTTTTTAAATTTTCAAAAAAGAAAAAAGCGTCATATCCAAGAAAGCAAAAGGCGTTGAGCAGTTAAAATTGGTTGGAGTCCAGAAAAACATCCTGAGAGTACCTTGAGAGTTTCCCGCCATAGTTTTAGAACTTCAAACTTGAAATTATTTTAGAACATAAGATTTTAGAAAACTTTTGAAAAAGCATGAAAGACGGCATATCTCAGAAACTAAGATGATTTGGAGCAATCAGATTTGAAGGTAAGATCTGCAATATTTGAGTAACCACAGAAAACCCTTCTATAGTGTTGAAAATTTTAATTTAAGAGCAGTCAACTTTGAAAACAGGATTTGCAACCGCTGAGAGTACCTCGACAATACCTGACTACAGGAGTGGCAATTTCCAACAATGTGAAATTTTTCCAACCTAAAATTTCTGAAACTTTCTGAAAAAAAAGATAATAAAATTATCATATTTCGGAACAAAAAAAAATGAGCAATCATATTTGGATGCAAGATTTGCAACGCCTGAGATTACCTTGACAGCACCTCACACTATAAAGTTAGGAATTTCAACTTTTATGTGTTTTTTATCTAAGTTATTTTAAAATTTATGAAAAAATCTTAAGAAGCCTCATATCTCGAAAACTAAAAAGATTTGAGCAGTCTTATTTTAAAGCCAGATTTCGAATCCCGGACAGCCCCCAAACATAGGGTTACGAATTTCAACTCTAGTCAAGTTTTAATATATAACTTCTTTGAATTTTTTTGAAAAAAAAATCATTAAAACGTCATATCTCGAAACTTCGAGGATTTGAGAGTCATATTTAGAGACACAATTTGCGACGACTGAAAACACTTTGAAAGCAACTCACACCATAGAGTTGAGAATTTGAATTTTGTCAAGTGTTGATATACAAGTTCTTTGCAAATTTTAGAAAAATCATTAAAAAACGTCATATCTCGCTAACTAAAAGGATTTCAGCAATCAGCTTTTGAGGCAAGAATTGCAACCCCAGCCCCAATTAACCTGACAGCACCCAATTACAGTGTTGAAAACTTCAATTTTTCTGGATTTTTTTAGATCTATTCGAAAAAAAAAATTACAAGAATCTTCGTATCTCGTAACTAAAAAGATTTGGGTATTCATATTTGGAGACCACCTTTGCAACCCCTAATGTCTCCTTCAAAATCCTACTTTTAGGTTGCTAATTTCAAAGTTGACAAAAATTCAAGGTGGAAAAACGTAACCTTTGCTTAAGCATTGCAATATACGATATATAGCTTAAATGTGCAAAAATTCGTTCGTAAAGCTTGCAAAAAAAAATACGTTCAAAACGCTTAATCATGGCGAGATAATCAAGTCCGCATTTAAATATATAATAGATGAGATCATAGATATGTTTTTAGAATTTTGAGTATCCCTTATTGGGAACAGAAGCTTCAGTGATATGAGTTACTAGATTTGTTCTTAGAAACTTGAGCATCCAAGTAAAATGCTATCCTTTTTTCCTTCCTTCCTGAAGAAATATACAAATCGTAGTTTCAAGGCTGCAGATTTTCATGGCTGCTCAAAATTGACTCAAGTAGCTTGATATGAAATATATATCTAGACAGTGACCTTGACAACTATGACCACTTTGCCCTGTTTGAGTCCGAGTGAGACAGCAGTGGCGGCTGTGTCCTGACTGGTCTTGTCGTAAGTGATGATCTCCAGCAGCTGCATCTTGTCCACTGGGGAGAAGTAGTGCATGCCCACCACCTAAAACACACACGCACACATCAACATGCAAAGAGTCAAGGGTTATCTAACGAAGAGTCAGGGCGTATTTGATACACAGAGGCGAAGCTGAGCTTCGCTCTCTTTGCGATACAAAAAACTGACAAAAATCAAAAGATAACGTCTCAAACAAAAAACTTAATCGTAGGCTAAAAAATATAGTACAAATTTTATTGCATTTTTCATAATAATCAATTACCTAAAACAAATGAATGATTCGGGCTACAAAAATACCATTCATTTCTTTTTCATAAACAATTGATGAACCCGCTCAGAAAAAAATTTGGGCAAAAAATTGACCAAAATTCCTAAACGTACTGAAAAAATTTGCTTAATACTGCCACCAAACAACCTGCAAATCCTACAGGAACCTTGAACTATAAATATCAACACAGAGGCGAAGCTGCACTTCGCAAACACAAGCGAGGAAAATGCAAAAAAGATCTCTAAACAGGCAAAACAAAGTGAAAAAAGGAAAAGGTTAAAAGACACCTTGAGAAACTTTTTTCCAAGGCTTGGGATTAACACGTTCTCACATCTGCTTCATGACCGCTTGTAATTTTACTAACACTAGCCACCAATAAATCAGCTGCAGTTTCTATCAAATTGCCAATGCGATGCAGGAAAACCTCGACCAAAAAAACTGTAACCATTTCAATGTTCCGGATTTGGATCTCCTACCAGTTGATTAGGATTTTCACTTCCTCGCATTTGCTCCACGGACGCTTGAAAGAAAAACTAGTTGCCCAGCTTATGCTAGATTCATATGTTTTAATATTTTGATCATACTTTGTACTGATACCGAAATACGTAATTTTGAAAGTCTCAAAAATGGACTTAACGCAAAACCCTAATATTTTTCTGCTCAAGTAGTGGATTGGCTGCATATTTAAAGAAAAAACTACTAATCCATCTTTCAACTGAATTCTTTTTCTTAGATTTGGCTGGGTAGTTTTCGAGAAAAAAAATTGAAAAGATTCCAAAAACGATCAAAAATTGAAAAAGTTGGCTTTTCCCAAATTCACTAAATTTTTTCTACCAAAGCAAAGGAAAAATCTCATATGCAGGGAAGATTTCCACACCCTGATTTTTAGATTGAATCCTTAATATCGGCTTTAGCTAGTAGCTTTCGAGAACAGTGATGAAATTTCTTTAAAAAAACGGTAAAAACTTCAAAAAAATGGATTTTTCCGATGTCCATATAGTCTTTTCTGCAAAACAAAAAGCGAAACAGATTACACAGGATAAATCTAAGCACGGTGTTAGTTTGAATGAATTATCAACCTGAGAATCAGCAGGTCAGTTTTTGAAAAAAGAAGTTTCCAAAAAACGGGCAAAGTTTCAAAAATTGTACATTTTCTAAGGCCATATTTTTTTTAAAACGCAGGGCATAGCCGCTTGAGCAGGGAAGATTCGCATACTACGTTTTTTCTTCCGGCTGAACTCTAATTCTCTGATTTGGCAAGGTAGTTTTTGAGAAAAATCAAAAAAAATTAAAAAATAACCAAAATTTCAAAAAATGGGCTTGATTGAGACCATAACATCCTTCTTCCGAATTTAGGGAATAGCCGCTTGAGAAGGAGAGATCCCAATGATTAGTTCTTTAGTTTAACCATTCATCTCAAATTTATGCATTTATTAGTTGAGAAAATGAACAAATTCAAAATCAAATAAGTCAAAAATCCCCCTACTGAAATTTTCGAAAGCCATAGGACGCGGTTTAAACTGAAAAGAGACTTGCAAAATATGCAGGCACATAGAATAGCAGCCAGTTTTTCCAACGACACCATTGTTTTGAAAATTGGTTCAGTAGTTTTTGAGAAAAAAAATGAAATTTTTGTCAAAAGTTCAAAAATTTTCCAAAGGGTCGCAAAAAAAAAAATTAACAAATCCCATACATTTTCATAAAACCTGCTGTTTTCAAACAGGACCTAATACTAGCCAAAAAAAACCAGCACTATATGCTATTAAATTACCAATGCTTAAATATGATGAAATTGAAATATACCAAAAGTGCCACTAATGTGAGCACTTTTATTTGCGACTTAGGTTGGAAAAAAAAATTGTTCGTAATAATACACATCGCTTTGCTTGTGTAATAAAAAATAACTATAAACTAAAATAAAAATGAAAGAAAAGAACTGAAAAAAAGTGAATGCTGAAGTTTCATACAATTTCCGCGAAAAACAATTTGCAGAAAATTTGAAAAATTCTGGAAATTTATACACAGAGGCGATATAGCAAGAAACAGCACGGCGGCAGATAGCACAAAAAAGACGAAACACGAAAGCCTGTTTGAAATTGATTTCTCTTACTTTTGTCCGAAATGCTTTTAAATTTGACGAAAAATATTGAAAACACACAATTACTTAAAAGCAAAACTTATCAAGCGGATACTGAGCAGACAAAACTTAGGCAGACGACTGTAGATCCGAAAAAAATCGAGCTATAAAACATTTTGAGCCAAAAGAAATTTCCACAGTTTTATGAAGTATTCGGAAGCACTGACAAGTTTCAAAAAAGTCGATCCTTCAAACGACGAATTATGGGTCAACTAAGCGGATGTAAAATCAACCCAAACTATTTAAGCCAAAAAAAATCCTTTAAGTGAAAAAAAAACCGATAATAAGCAAAAATTGAATTGAAAATGAGTTGATTTACAACTAACAATGAAAATTCGAGAAAAAAACGTCAATTTAAAATGACATGCTCAAAGAATTATGATGCCAGTCAATCTGTTGTAGCAGCAATCATGACACTGAAATGATTCAACAGATTTTGTTAAACTAGTTGTTAACCCGAAAAAAGTCTATATTCCGATTTGATAACGCTTTCTAATTGCCAGCGTAACCAAAGCCTACAAAGTCCTTGTTTAACATTAAACAACCAACTCGGCCGAATTAATGTATCTCACTGGGTCAAAGCTAGGCTGAAGTTCCCATAGACTAACCTAACCGTACAACTTCTTCAACTTCCCTTCAGGGTCTATTACCTACAGGTTTGCTTCATAACAACACAAATACTCGCCTTTTCAGGTCGCTTGCTGGCTTGGGCGATCTGTGCAATTGGGAGTGCGGACGTGTTTGAGGCGAAGACACAGTGATCGGGCGTGTTGGCCTCTGTCTCCTTGAGGACCTTGTGTTTGAGAGACAGTTCCTCGAACACTGCCTCCACCACTACATCTGCCTCCTTGAATCCATCCCAGTCTGTCGTCAAGTCCAGCCTCGTCATGATCTGGTCACGCTCGAACCTGAACAGAATGGTCACATTCAAGGTCATTAACCGACTATTTTGCTGAAAAACAAAACATCGGGCTGTGAAAACAATTGAGTCCAGGATAATTAGTTGTGGAGTGATACCAGCATAGTGCGATATCTCGAATAAAAAGGAAGCTTTAGCTTAACATCCGTTTCATTGAGTACTCAATTTGAATGCTAGGGATCCCATCTAGGCTGGTGATTCGACACCAGATTTCACTAAATCACTTTACATAGTTCTTCAAGTGATTTTCTCTCTAAAATACCCTCCAAAATCCTGATGCTTTCTTTCCTCCTGGTGTTATGAAATTCTAATGTTATACAATATGACTTACATTACGATGCCAAACTGTGTATTTTGTTAATTCTAAGCTGATTCCGCAACAAGCTGAAACCAAATTTTTCGCGGAATCCGCAAAATAGCTTTTTTTTTTAAAATCTTCTTCGCTGTTTTAGAACCCACTTACATTTGCGGAATCCGGAACAACTAGCTCTTTTTGCTCGTTAAGGAATCCGCGACAAAACTAATATGCCGACAAAACTTACGTTACAGGTATATGTGGAATCCACGGAAATTTTGGAACAGGTGTTAAGACATGTCTCTGGATTCCATTGACCTACAGACACCAAATTGTGCGCCTATCCAGTGCACAGTCACGCTCGAACCTGATGTTATCCAGTGCACAGTTAAATCCGGGTTATTAAATAATCATTCAAGGGATGTGCAATCGCTCCAACTTTAGGTCAATGTGAGATTATATGCATATAAGGTAATTATACTAACGAAGAGATCTTCTTCCTCTTGACCTTCTTGTCCAGTCCCTTGTAGATGTCAGTGTTTCCCTTGGCCAGTGACTTGTTGCTGATGTCCTTCAGAGTGACATTAATGCCCTTGTCAATTGTGACTTGTGCAATGCCAGCCCCCATCAGACCAGCCCCGATCACTGCTATGTTCCTGAAGACAGACTCCACTTGAAACTGGGTGAGACATAAAACTTATACAGTGCTTATTCAAAAATAAGAGTTATGTTTTACCCAGCACGGAGTGTACAAAGTTGAAAATGAATAGAGTTTTTGATATGATTTTATATCTACTTTCTATATTCGAACTGATCAATTGGGATTTTCTTCCAAATTTTATATTAATACTATAACTATAATATCCTACCAATCATTCAATACGGATTGCTTGTTTATGGTTGCACCAGTATAAATGCCTTAAATCCCATTCATATGTTACAGAAAAAGATTATGCGTCATATATTTTACATAAAAAAATATGATAGTATTACCGACCATTTCTACTCAAGTGGAATATTAACCGTTCACGAATTATATGTTCACGAACTTCTGAAATTTTGTCTACAATCGGTAAATGAAATGCATTCAACTGTTTTTCTAAATTCCTTTTTCACCAAAACTGAATACATGCGCAAAACGAGAAAATCTGAATTTCTTCTTTTTTCAGAACCTTTTTGCAAAACAAATACCAGATCAAATTCACTGAAAAGAAGGGGCTCGAGACTTTTAAATTTATTAAGTGAAAATAAAATTCTACCAGAAAATCTTTGTTCCTTGAAAAAGAATGAAATAAAAAAATTTCTGAAAAATTTCAAAATGAATTTTCTGATAGGCAACATAGACCTCGTTAAGCACATTTTCAGTTGTAAATAAAAGTATGACTTTGTTGTGATGCAATCTGAAGCGGAGCCAGCACATTCTTTCAGAAGAAAGGGCGTTGTCCTAGACAACATAGTTTTATACTATTCAAGTCCTAGTATGGGAATTGTGCTGGTGAAGTGAATTTTTGCATCGCCTAGAACATAGTCATATTTTTGAAAAAGTTAGAAAATGTAGCCCCCAAAGGTTCTACTATGCCCAATTAACTAGCGAATTTTAAGGAGGAAAAAAATTGCCTGGTATAAGTTTTCGGTGAAAAACTTGAAATTTGTAAACAAATCAGTTATATATTTTTTCATCCCTTATCTTCTGAATAATACCTCTACCATCCTTGCTGTTAAAATTAAATTATTTGTGCAATGCGGTTGTTCTATGTTCTATGTCCATTCAAGAGACTATGTTTCTGATTTTGATAAAGTTTATAATGATTATTTTAATTTTCAATGTTGTTTGCTCTGCTGGAAAAGTAATTTCTCTAACATATGGTTTGAAAAAAAAAAATATATATATATATATATATATATATATACTCGTTTGAATGGTTTAGAGTTCTGGCGACCTCGGGTTCACTCTCAGTGGGTAAAGGAACTTTGAACCAGCTTATACGACTTCTATCAGATTAATGCAATAATTGTTCTATTTTTCTTGCAGACAATTAGATATATAAAAATATTTGTACTATTTGCAGTTTGAAATAATGCTTGAATAGGGTAGGCGCTCAGTGGGAATTTATTATTCCCTTTGCCTGTCCTCTCCTTATAATGTGAAAGCCATTGTTTATTTATTTGTTTACATTATTTATTTGTTTAAATTGTAAAAGAAATAGCTATTAAACAATGGTCTGCTATATTATTATTTGGAGAAATAAATTCTTCTTCTTCTTCTTCTTAATTTCCAAGCAGATACCCCATTTACATGGTACTTTTTATTTCGATCCTTTGAACTTTGATGAGTTCTATGTTTTTTAATTGATGAGATTGTTGGATGTTAACGAATCAGCCCTCACATTGTTTGACATTAAAAACATGAAAATGTGCCGAAATCACAGCTTAAGCTTGGCATACTACAATCTGGACTCAAATCTAACTTGGGTTCTCTCTGCGGAGTTCCGAAGTTGTTCTTCTTGCACTCTGTCTGTCCGTTGAACAGACCAATCAGGGCCTGACTCTCAGTTGTGGCAGCCAACTGGCCGAACAGCTTCGCCTCCCGCTTCAACGACTCCGATTTGCTCTCACGGTTGCGCAACGAACTATGTACACACTGGAACAGACCAAACAAACATTTATAGGTTATGGAAACTAACATACTCTAAAACAGCATGTCCCATAGTTTATCAACACAAGTTAACTAAAGAATTACATGTTCCCCTTTTTAACCCAAATGAAAGCCACCTTTAAATAATTAATTTGAATTCTCTTTTTTAAAACCGTCAAAAAGCAATACGTTCTGAAGAAGAACTTTAGCCAATGGAGAGTTGAAAAAGTGTCAAGGTTTCAAGAAATCCGAAAAAAAAGAAACTGTTATTTTTGAAACTTTTGAAGGATAAAAGAATGCGGCCATAAATGATTTCCCGAAACTTTTTTGACTGACGACATTTTAACATGAACAACTTATTTAAAAAACTAGATCAAAAATAAATCATTTGAATCCACTAAGAAAATTCAAAATTGCAATCCTCTTTCAAAACTGAAGGTCTTCAAATATTTTTGTTCCATTTGCACTTTAATTATTGGACAGCAAAATTTGCCTTCCATTTACCAAATTAATTTCAAGTGAACTCAAGAGGCGGCGTGGAATTTTCTTGTAGGCTAGCGGACCGAGGCCAATAATTCGACAAACATAGCCAATTTACATCTGCAAAAGAGTAATGAACCCAAAGAAATTGAAAAAAAAACTGACTTAATTAAAAAAAAATCTTCAACTTTTGAATTTCCAAGAAAAAAAATAGATAGGTCAAAAACTCTTTGAACTTGTAGAACAATTTGGGACTGATAATTTTTTGATAACAATAAACCAACTTGAGAAAACTAAATCAATAGATAAAACTTTTATAACGGTGCGAAACCTGACATTTAATTTCCATTTTCGAAATTGGAAGTCGATCAAGTTTTTCGTGACCTATACATTTTTACATCTTTACAATAATGGAGTTTGCCTTCGTTTTGACAACAAAAATCAAAAGAACTGAAAAAAAATCCAAAAGTCAAACCGCGAAAAATCAACGTTGAGCGTGAACAAATTTTAAGACTTTTTCTTGAATTAAAAAACAAGACCTATGTAAGAGTATCGCCACTTTCATTACTCTTAAAAAAATAAAACAAAATGCCAAAAAGCCGATCTATGAATTTTGTTTTACGCTCAGTTCAAATGATGCATTCAGAAAATTCTATCGAGCGTCAACTTAGCGAAAACTACTTGGGTAGCCGCCATTTGAACCAAAAACAAAATTGTTGTGTTGTTGTTGTTGTTGTTGATGGAGCTCGTCATAGATGATATGAGGGACGTAAACGTCCTGTTCGGCCAATAAACATTAAAACTTTGTCCGGATTTGTTTGCAAAACTGAGATAATGGGGTTTGAGCCCAAAGTTAACAATCTTTCTTCATTCCATTTATCGCATTTCAGGATGAAATGCTCTGTGTCTTCAACTTCTTCACTGTCACACTGACGGCACTGCGGAGATTCAATACGACCAAAGAGATGCTCAGTTTTAGCTAGGTTACTACATCGATTCACCCGGAGCCTATGCAACAAAACTTCCTCTTCTCTTGAACGATTAGTTGAATGCTCCAAAGCCATGCCATTACAAATTCGTCTGTGTAAGTGATCTTCGTCCACTTTTTGCCGGTAATCTTCTAGTGTCACTTCTTCTCTATTCGTCAGAATAAACTCTTTCGTACTGAGATTTTCTGGTTTATCTTGGATCATCTTTCTAGCGGTAACTCTCCAGTCCGGACGAAATCTGCTATCCCCTCTCGCTTTCAGTCTCTGAGGCGGGCCGTCATCTGTCAAAAGATGCAGATGATGATCTATCGGGAACCGGAGGAACTTACTGTACAAAATGGCTGCCTTTTCGTCACTGTACTGCTTCAACGAAGAAAGCCTTGCCTCAGCGCGAGTAGCGACGGCATTGGAACTTGCTGGCGTGCCACAAATAATTCTTGCTGCTCTGTTGTTGCATGCCTCCAGTTTATTCCAATTCGAGTCCGAGAGAAAAGAACCCCAAACTTCACTGGCGTAAAGTGCTCCTGGCTTGACATAGGCATTATACAATCTTCTAAGGTCAGTGGATGTCAGACCCCAGTTCTTCCCTGACAAACTAGAAAGCAGTTGTGTCCTTTTCCTCATCTTCTTCACCATGATGTTTGTGTGTTCGGAAAACGTCAACTGTGTATCAATGTTGACACCCAGAATCTTGATATGCTTGTTGAAAGGAACTTGTGTGTTCTCCAGAAGAAGAGCTGGCTGTGCTTTGCCTGCCGTCTCTCTCGGGTCCAGGCTGATCACTAACCCCTCAGTCTTCGACGGTTCAATGAGCATATAATGATCACTCGCCCAAGAACTGACGCTATCCAGAGCTGGTTGCATTCTAGCTGCTGCTGAATCAGGAGAAACATCCTCATTATAAAGCGAATAATCATCCGCAAATTGGGCACTTTTCGTGTCTGGAGCATTTTGAGCAATCCTTGTAGGCAAACTAGCCGTAGCAAGACAAAAAAGCAAAGGGGACAGAGGTGAGCCTTGTGGAACTCCCTGCTGAAACACCTTATACTTGGAAAGAGAACTGTTCCATCTGACACACGCTCTTCTGTCGCTAAGAAACGACTTGATCCACCGCAGGCAAGTAGGATGAAGGCCAGCTTTCGCTAAGTCTCTAAGAAGACCACCACGCCACACCCTATCAAACGCTCCTTTGAAGTCAACTGCCGTGATCACTGTTCGCTTCTTCATCTGTAAGTTGTCGAATGCCTTTTGGCTGAGATTAGCAAGAACATCTGTTGAGGATCGTTTGGCACGAAATCCTGACTGACAATCTGGAATCATGTGAGTACTCTCGGCCCAATGACGAACGCGGGATTCCATCATAGACTCCAGAACTTTGGCAATACACGGCAACAGAGAAACGGGCCTATAACTCTTTATCTGAGAAGGCGGTTTACCATTCTTCAAAATTGGCACAATGACTGCACGTTTCCAGCAATCTAGAACTTTTCCTAGACGTAAGCTCTCATTGAAGACACGAAGCAGAAACAAGATGCAATTCTCTGGCAAGTGCTTGATCATCTGGGGAACAACTCCATCTGGGCCGGCAGCTCCATTCTTCATCTTCTGTAAAGCTCTTGCCAACTCGTCTTCGGTGAAACTGTCACCCAGCTCACCTTCCGAAGTTTCTTTCAGACTTTCTCTAGTCGCTAGGTAAGCTTCCTTGGAGTCCTCTCTAGTGATCTGGACCTTGCTGGCTGCGGCATACGTTTTCACTGCAAGTTCCGCTTTCGACTTGTCAGTGACAGCAGTCTTGTCCCCGGCACACACTGGATTGTCTGGCAATCCCAGTTTCTTCCTGCCATCCATACTTTGAAGCGTGCGCCAGACCTTGGTACTAGGAGTCGCCGGAGACAACGTGTCAACAAACTCCCGCCAACTACGTCGTTTTTCTTCTCTGATGGTATCAGCAAACATCTTCTTCGCGTTCTTGTACCTTTCCACATTTTCTTCGCAAGGGCTCCTCCTCAAGAGACTGAAAGCATCCTTCATAGACCTCTTCGCGCTCTCACAGAGACTAGACCACCAAGGCTTTCTGTTGCCACCAACCTTAGTGAAGGGAGTTGACTCCTTAGCTGCCTTCTGCATCGTCTCGATCAGGACCTTGTAATTCTTCTCCAGTGACATATCTTCATTCCACTCTGACAAACTCCTGTCACACACACTGCTGTACTTCTCCCAGTCCGTTTTGTTGAAGTTAAACTTGCGTTTTGTCTCTTCTTCTTTCATCCCTGAAGAGCCAATGACCAATTGAATTGGCAAATGATCGGAACCAATGGTCTCCAGCACATCCCAAGAACAACTACTCGCCACAGAACTGTGCACAATGGTGATGTCGGGTGCTGTTTCCACCATCGCGTGACCCAGCTGCCGAACACGTGTAGGAATGCCACTATTCACATGCGCCATACTGTTGTCAATCAACCAGTCGTCAATTTCTTCTCCCAACTGATCGGAATCTCTGTTCGCATCCCATGAACCATGCGCATTAACATCCGCACAGATAACAGAACTCTTCTCTCTAGGCCAATGGTTCAAATACAACGCAGCATCTCTCACGTCTGCACCACCAGTAGCAGGAAGACGGTACATATTCCAGAGATTCATCCAGCCATGCTTGGTCTCCACTGAAACTCCCAACGACTCCAAAGCAGCTCCTGTCGGAAGATTCAAACTTTCTAACCTGCGTGACTGGACTCCAGGTCTGACGAGCACCGCCAAACCTCCTTGAGGTTGCTCATTCTGCACCAGATGAACCGTGCGTTCTGCTCTATGGACTTTCCACCCATTAGCACTAGGGTCAGCAGTAGAACTCATCAGCTTCGTCTCTTGCAACAACGCAACATCAATTTTCTTCTCGTCGAGAAACTCGTTGAGACTAGTGACCTTACCTCTCCAACCATCGATGTTCAGCTGCAAAATCTTCAAACATCTGGGCACTGGAGTCGTCACTTTTGGTCTCCGAGTTTGGGTGGCTGGCTGCAGAACTGCAACTGGAGCAACAGGGACAGTGGGAACTGTAACACACCCACAATGCCACCTGAAATTCTGATGTGCCCTGATCTCTTGGGTCGACATCCCTGCGCAGCGCTGATGTATCCAATTCTTGCAATCAACACAGTAGATAGACCAGACTCTGCTACTAACCGCCTCACCACAGTATCCACAAGGCCATTTCACCGGCCCCGGATTCAGCTCGATATCCCCTGCCAGAATTAGAAGCCACCATAGATCGGGGTCACTATGGTGCTTCAGCAAAAACCCGCACTGGTTTCCATGTGTTTTGGCCAAACACTCTTTGGTATGGGAAATTTGAGATCCTTCTGCAAGGATCCACACCTGCCGCCACGTGAAGGCTTCCCAAAATTGTTGTCAGACCTATTCACCCCTCGGGAAACAAAATGATAAAAATCCAATTTTTTTATTTCCAACAACGCAAAATTTGGCGAATATGTCGATATAATCTAAGCAGAAGCCATTTAAACCAAATAAACCTTT